CTGCGTTTGCGTTAACATTGGCAAGAAGTTCCACTCGGATTTGATGCTAAGTTAGAAGCTCTCCTGTGATTTTTCGCATTTTAATGCAATGTTTCATTGTAATAGGCCCATCCCCCCCTACGGGGGAGCTGTGGGGGCCCGGGGGCAATATGAAGACTTCGGTATCAGACTTGGAGTATTCGAGGACTCTTTGAAAAGAGAAACGGTATGTCCAAGAGCCGCCGAAGCTACTCTAAAAAATTAAGGTACGGACCCCCTAACTTTTGACAGGGGGGTCAGATTGACTTCCGGTTTGGGCCAAAAATTTTCTTTTTTCATGCTCTTTCTAACGATGTATCACATGATGGGGGTTGCCATTTGAAATTTTTGAGTTGCCCCCCGCCCCCCCTCCCCCTGGGGGGGGTGAAGAACTGAAAAGTACCTCAAAAAGTTTCCCCCTCGATATGAGGAAGGACGCCACAAACCGCAAATCGATATCATAATTAGAACTAAAGTTGTGGCCAGTGGTGCGTAACTTTTGAATAACCCTGTATATATTCGTGATCTACGACTCAAGATCGGTGCTCTTTACATGGTCCCAGGTCTAGGTCCCACCATGAGGGAGAATGCAATAGTGTGTCTTTCCTTCGGAAAATACACTAAAAAATGAGGGAATGGATAGGTCTGAATTCAGTATAAATCATAATTGGGATCCAGGATCAAGTTTAATCAGCCAAGGGGAACTGTTTCTTGAAACATATCTGTGGCAAGAGGGGAAGAGTAAATTATTTCATTCCCCAATGTGACACTACCCTTTGGAAAATACACTCATGCCGCGGTAAATGCGCGGACTACAAAAAGAACCGTCCCCTACTTGCTGGCAACCCCTTGGAAAAACCCTGCCGCTTGCAGCCGAGTTTCAGTGATCTTTTTTTTCTTCAACCATTTGACATTTTTGAAGGCCTTCTTTTAGATTTTAACAAATAACTATGCGTTTCATGAATCTTACCCTTTGAAAAACAAACAAACAATCAAGGTGGGAATTACCTAAAAGGTATTAAAGCTGATGTCCCTTGCGGGTGGACGTCAACAGCAAGCTGGGGGCTTTACTACACATAGAATTGTAGGGTCCCCAGCCACTCACTTTTTCTACTTTACTCATCTATTTTTTTGTCCTCACTTTTCTCAATTCTGCTGTTTCAACCTGTCATGGTAAGGATAACTCAATTTATTGCTGTGTTGTGTGAAGGCTGCAGAAATGCTTCTAAAGAAGCCATTTAGTAACCATCTTCATCAGCATGAGGTAAAGCTTCCTATACTTTCGTCTATCGGAGGTAGGTCTTGTCCTCCCCTCCACAACAAAAGCTCAAAAAGTTTCGTCACAACCTAAATGAAAAAGTTGCTGATCATGGTTTGTAAAGAAGGTTTGTGACAAGGAATGTGATATTGTCTCCGTACTGATGGGCTCTACTTAATTGGGTTATGTGTCGGATGGATTTCGTGCAAGGTTTTAAAATAAAAATCACTCTGTTAATATTTATTTCTCGTTTTGTTTTCTAGCGGAAATGATTTGTGAGATATATGACAAAGCCGTTTCTATAGATCCTAACAGTGAAGAACTTCTATCTCATCTTTTTATGGCATATGTTAGAATTAGTGATTATCAGAAGCAAAAGCAGACAGCTTTAGCTCTTTATAAGCTGCATCCGAAAAATCCGTACTACTTTTGGGCTGTGATGAGCATTGTAATGCAGGTAAAAAATTTTATGGTTCCCAAGTTAATAATTAATTTACGTTGTTTAAACTGTTAGAGTAAAGGCGCTTTTGAATTACAGGAAATTTAAGATTGAGTGGGTAGCAATAAGTAGCTAGTAATTAGTGACTCATCCACCTAGTTTTAGTAAATAAATAAACTGCAATCTTAACTTTTTTAAGTACTTTTAATAGGCCTAGTATATATTTTTAAAAGAATACCTCGTAGAAAAGATAAGGGGAAAAACTGATAAGAAAAAGATAGAAAAAATGAACTTTTCAACATTTTTGTTTAATCTTCCTATCTGTATGCAATGACTTGTCAAGCAAAAGCCTCGAATACATTTCAATGGAATTCACAAACATTCAGAGAGTATATATTCACTAATATTCTACAGGATTAATTACAGAAGTTTTTTCTAGCCGTCTACAAATCTATGTATAAATATCAGGTGTTCCATTGTACCCGTCCACTATCTTTTTCTTGGAAATGGCCGTAAATTGCGCTTCGGAACGAGAACTTGCAAGTATATTAACCCCAAAGAATTCAATAAAAGTATTTTTAGCCCCCCAAAACCCCATTTTGGGAGGGTTTTAAGGGGGGGTGCTGATGCTCTCCGTTTCTCGTATATTTTAAATAGGAGGGGTATATTTTGACTCCGGGCTTTAATTCTATGGCAAAAATTAAGAACCTCCTATACCCCCGATTTCTGAAGTTTCAGGGCATTTTTTAGGCAAATTTCAATTAGAAACCATAGACGTTAAAGTTATCCGATTCTCCAACTCTAAAAGTCTTGTAGGAAAAGAGGTCAACCTACCTTAGGGGGTACCTTTTTATTGATGTGCCACATGACCCCTATTGATCCAAAATTATGGAGGCAACAACTCTGAAAATTTTGGGGCTTCGGAGAGCCGTATGTCGAGAATTTCAATTAGACTGTTTTAGTGTGAAGTCACATTTCGAGATTTATAGCGGTTTTAGGCCTGGTGCCGTAACGGGGATTCGGTCGGCTCGATTTACATGGGATTTCCCACAAGGAACAGAAAGTCAATTTTCAAACGCTGATCCTGGGTAGTTTCAGACTGTTTCTGCCGGATGTTCTCGCAGTTATGATTTTCTATATCCCCAAATGTACGTTTCTGCCTGGTGAATCCTCAATATTGCATGAGATAAATTAATTTTACTCAATGAATCGAAGCAAGTCTGGAGAGTGAGGTTATGTTACCCCTTTGTTTACATTCTTTTCTGGAACTCGGAAGAATATTATTTCTTCGTTTTTATAAAGAAGGACGAAGCATTGGTAGATTTCAAATACATTACCGAATTTATAATCATTATTTAATTCTCTAGGTCGCATTATTGCGACGTTTTATGGGTGAATTCAAATAAGCGTCTAATCTAGTGTCCCGAGCTGTTTTAATCGTCATAATCTGAGAAACATGGGCAGATCAATCTCATTTTCCACACTATTGTTAACTATTACATGCTACTTTTCACTTTATTTGGACTGAAACAAAAATTTAGGAGAACTTTGAATGTGCAAATTGCCTACATTTGTCCCAAATTTGCGTGCCCCCCGTGCCTGGTTCTTGATTTTCAATCAATGTTGCAGCATTACTAGAGTGATTACTTGAGAAAACTTTATCGGAGATGATAGGTAATGCTTTTGAATTTGAGAAAAAAAAGAGGTCAATTTCTTTTTTGTTCCATCAATAACTTTTTCACGCGCCAGAATCATTGTCCTGAGCAGCAGTCAGGAGAGACATGGCAACGATGTGACAAGCTCTAAATGATTGCCGTAACGTCGAGGTTTTTCCAAAAACGACTTTTTTTGTTTCGATTGAATAGTTCACACGTCGCAGATGGCAAAAATTCTGAAATTCGCAAATTTTTGTGCAAGATTAACGCCAATAATGATGCCAAACAAAATTCTACAGACGATAACTAACAGGGCGTCAAGCATACACACACACACACACACACACACACAAATATCAGCTCGTAAAATACTTTCGAAGTGTGCGTTGGGGAAAAATTTCAAACATATTTGGGGATATTTTTCAAACATAACGACTTTCCAAAAAATATCTACCACGAAATAAACAGTTTTTTGTGTCTCCTGAACAATTTGGTTTTCTGGACATGTGCCCTTTTTGTATTTAGTGATTCATGTTCCCATCCTGTCCCAGTGTCCCAGTTTAGTAGGACAGAGTGGAAAACTGTTACAACTGAGACTTGCTTGTTTAAGCCCTATAGGCGCTTTTCTCTGCCGATTTAAGTGAAACTTGGTTCTGGGGGGTACCTTTCAATGAGGAACTCGAATTTTTAGTCGAATTTTCAAAATTCGAAAATCCAAGATGGCGGACACGGCCTAAAATGCTATCTCAGCGCCTAATCAATCGATTTACGTGAAACTTGGTATCCGGGGGTATTTTCCATGGGGAATTCGAATTTTCAGTCGAATTTTCAAAATTCGAAAATCCAAGATGGCGGACGTGGCCTAAAACGCTATCTCAGCACCTAATCAATCGATTAAAGTGAAACATGGTACTCATGGATATTTTTTGACGAGAAACTGAAAATTCTAGTCAAATTTCCAAAATTCGGAAATCTAAGATGGCGGCCGTGGCTTAAAACACTATTTCGGTGACTAATTAATTGATTTTAATGAAACTGGACCGGAAAACCTTGGCATTAGGAGAAGAAAGGAAATTTTAATAGGGGTGCAATACATGGTTTCTTATGTATCTTAGGCTACGAAATCGAAAAATTCCCATGTTTTTTCCATCGTGGACAGATTCTCCCGGAAAATTGACTCTGCTGGAAAAGCTAGATTCCATGGAAAATTCCGATTTCTCCGGAAAAATTCCGAACTTTCCCGGGATAAGTCGCACTGATGCAGGTAAATGGAGGTGATCTTCAGAATCAGCGTCAAAAATCCACTCCGAAACAGTTGGCAAATCTTCGGAAAATCCAAAAAAAAAAAAAAAAAAAAAAAAAAAAAAAAAAAAAAACGTTTACTGGTGTAATTGATATGTTAATGCAATTCCTCAAACTTTTCCTGGCTTTATCTCCACTTCAGAGGGTACACGCCCACTCGAAGTTTTAAAATTCGGTGTTATTGATCCATTTTGTATTGCAATATTTCGAGAAATAAAAGCTTCTTTATGTGTTAAAAGAAGACAGTGCGCATTTTGATGAACAGACAGAACTGTCTAAAAGACAAGCAGAATAAGCTTCAGATATCTTTCATGACGGATGAAATGTTTCTCAATTTGTATAGTTCTGCAAGATATGAAAAGGTTACATGTTTTCAATCATGCTTTAATTCAGTGCTCGACGATGCTTTTATGAAAATTGTGTTCAATCCTCAATTAAAAGTATTATATGTCACCCCTGAGATGAAAATTTGGGAAATCAGGCAAAATTAGAGCAAATTTTGTGAAGTTATACACTTGACGGTGGAAATTCGGGTTAAAGCCCAACTATTAAGCTCAACGAGCTATATTTCCTAATTCTACACCTAATGATAGTCAAAATAAAGTTTGGTTCGTCCAAAAATTCACAAAAAAATTTTGGGAGGAAGTACAACCTGGAATTGGACCCTTATTTTAATTCACCCATATATGTGTAAACATTATGTGGGGATGAGTAAAATTGTAGTTGGACAACCCGCTTACCTCTATGGCTTTCTCTAGAAGTTATAAGATTCCAATGAGTGCCCATTACCTTAATTTACCTTTACAGAGCATACGCCAATAAGTTCTTGTGGCGTCAGTGTTCAAAAAGTTTAATGTTGTTGATGAAGTACCTTCAAAATCTTATCGAAATCGATAGGATCAAACGGAGGCAACTTCCCCACAGCGCTATTATATGCTAACAGTTAATACCTAGAACATAATGACAGCTTTTCTCTGAAGGTATCAACTGAAATTGATTTAAACAATACTACCTAAGTATGTATTGAAATGTTCAGGAGGAAAAACTATGGATTATAAGAAACTAAAGTGAGTGACTTATGGCTGGAACGATTGCAGCGCAACTCTTTGGAGAGTGAAAAAACAAATACTGGTGTCCAATATTCAAGAGTTGCGGATGTCTAGGTTTTGTCATCATAGATAGAATCTTAGAGAAAAACTAATGTCAGAGACGCGCAGAATTGTTTTTTTCATTAACTAGTGATGAACAGAGTCCAAAATAAGAATGTAAACAAAGGGGTAACATAACCTAATCTTCGGGACTTGCTTCAATTCATTGAGTGTAATTAAATTATCTGATGCTATATTGAGGATTCACCAGGCAGAAACGTACATTTGGGGGTATAAAAAACTCATTATCGCAAGAAAATCCTGCAGAAATGGTCTGAAACTAGCCAGAATCAGCGTTTGAAAATTAACTTTCCGTTCCTTATGGGAAATTTCTATTACATCGAACCGACCGAATCCCGGTTGGAGGCCGTTCACAATAGCAGCCGGTAGCTTGGCACTCGGTGGGCTTCTCAAGTAGCACTGCGGAAAAAAGTGAATTTTTGGAAATATCTATAATTTTTGAACTCAGCGACGCTCAAGAGTCCCTTAAAATGTATTTTGCACGGTTTGAACATTTAATCTGATTTATTAACACTCATATCCAGCTTTGGAACCATATTTTGGCGCGCGAAAAACGGTCGGCGTGCGTTGAGCCTAAACTTCAATTGTCCGTAACTCTCGAACCCTTCGGTTGCCCAGTCTAATGGACCACTCGTTGGATACGGGAAAAGACGAACAATTTTAAAAACTGGTTTTGATCCATATAAAAAATTGAGTTCTTTGTAAATTCTTTGTTTGGAAGAAACTTTCTCGACTCAAAAACTAAAAAAAGCACATATGTTAATTTGAAAATGTGATTTCGGGATTTTGATCTTTAGAATCTTATAGTACGCAATTTTAGACGATTTTTCGTCCGAACCGGACCTTGATATCTATTTTCGTTCAAGAGATATTGAGGTTCAAAGGTTTTGACTTCCACCCTCTCTAGCGCCCCCAAAATTATTTTGGGGTCTGAAAATTTGGGAAAAGAAGTGCTCAAGTATGATTAATCAGTAGACAAAATTGAAAACATTCCAAGGGGCGGCGATAAAAGCCGTTTTTCCATCAAGCTCTTTCATTTTTTCCGGACTTTTTTAATTTAAAAACGGACCAGTTCCAATTTTCTTTTTTTAGACTTTTAATATTTGTTTCAAAATTTTATTATTTTAGATTTTATTTCTTACAAATTTTGTTAATTTAAAGACTCATTAGTCCAAATTTCTTTTTTTCAGACGTTTAATGTTTTTTTGCTAAAATGTAATTTTTTCTGAACTTTTTGAATTTAATAACTAGTATGTAATAAATGGTAATACATTTTTTTATTGAATTATCTGGGGTTAATTTGCTTAAAAGTTTTCGTTGCTCTATTTACGGCCGTTTCCGAGGATCAATTGTGGACGGGTGCTCTGGAACACCAGGTAAACTGTATATGAATTGTTCTCCTATTGTGGGGAGGGAGGACATCGCTTTTACTGAAAGTAACTTTTTTCCACCAGGGTGCCGTACCTGTTGAAAACAATCAATTTTTTAAGTTTTATCAATACTTAAAATCTAATTTATAGAGTATTAAAATATTCATTAATTTAATGTAGAAAATAAATATATTGTTGATTTTTTTACCTGGGAGTTTTTTTTTTTGTTTTTTTGTTTTTTTTTTTGTCCACAAGGCACATTCAGCAGATTCTGAAGCAACAAAAGGCATTGTGTTATCAGTAGCTGAAAGAATGATTTCCAATTTCATCAAAGAAGGCAAAATTGAGACTGAACAGGAAGTTCAATTGTATCTGATGGTACTAGAAATGCAGGTTTGTAGTGTTACCTCTTATTTTTTGTACCTGATGGGATCTGCTTTTCTTTCTTTTAGCCAAAATGATTAACTGTCATATTTTGCGGAAAAAGTCACCAGATGGTGTCTGCCCCAAGAAGCTCCGATTGGTATCACCATGTGCTTGTGCAAAATGTTTTAAAAACAGTCTGAAAATAAAATCTTTTGAATTTCTCTTCAAAAATGTCCAAAATTGCTCAGAATGTTAAACTTTCTCGAATAAAAAAAGATGTCAAAATTTAGTTTTCTTCAAGGATTGTCTTTAATTGCTTTCCAAAAAAGTTTTGTAGAGAAAGTCCCAAGATTTTATTTTTAAGCTACATTTGTAAATGCACAAGAACAAGGTGTTTTGATTCTAGATGTAAGATCTATGGATGTAAGAAGAATCTGGAGTTGCGAAATTGTAAAATCCAAGGTAGTGGATCTTAAAAGGCAATTAACACCGCATGGCTCGTCTGAACCAACTGTAAATTAAACATCAATGACACCAAAAAGTTTCTTCGGGAGCTTGAAGTAGGATGCAAGTATTGTCATTTAAGCCAAAAACGGAAAAAATCTGTCGGGCTCTTCGAAAATAAAAGCAATATTTATGTTAACATGCATGGGTTTTTTAAAGAAATTAAGTTTCCCTAATTTTCGGGGAGGTAAAGAGTGACAAATAAGTTAATATTACAACATCATATTGTTCTACAAGGTTTTAGCTCTCTAAGGAGCGATAGATTTTTATTTTTGGACCACTGGTTTGCAAGATAATCGATTTTTACCGAGACAACTTCATTTTGCTGCGGGTCCATTGACGCACGGTGGAGCGAAGGATAGGAATGCCCAGTCATCGCCTTACTACCCAACTTATTTCGGCTATTCCACTCCTTCCCATGGAAATTTCGTGTTAAAGCAAGGTGTTCTTCTGTTATTTAGATTGTAGAATTTATTTTTGATCTTACTCTTCTAAATATTATGATGCAAATGAGCAATTCTGCGCGTTCTTTAAAACTTTCCGTAGAAACATGAAAAGATAAGTTACTCAAAGATTTTTACTCGTTCTTGTGGGCATTTCGTGTTGAAACTCGGTATTCTTAGGGAATTATGATCGTAGAAATCATTCTTGACCTTACTCTTGTTGATTTGTTGACACAAACACATGCTTTCGGGGGTAAAAAGAAAAGGCACTGCAAGATAGATTGTACTTGTTCTGGTAGACATTGCGTGTTGAAACTTCGCAAACTATTGGTATTCTGATCGAAAAATTCATTTATGACCAAACTTATGTTAATATACATGATTACACAAACGATGATGACACATGATTTGAGGGGGATGGGGGTTTGTTCAAACTTTTAGTATAAGAGTGAAAAGAAGTTATTCAAAGATAGATTTCATTAGTTCTGGTTGAAAATGTACGGTGAATTGTTGATACTTGATAGTATATTCATCGAAAACCCCATTTTTAACCTTACTTACGCTAATAGATTCACATGAATACGCGATTTTTCAGCCCCATCTCATTCCATTGAAAGTGCACTTTTTCCCCTCCCACCGCCTTTTGAGTCATTTTGATAGCATCTCTACATACCCTTTTCCACCCTTAGATGCCTTTTATTATTCAAGGACAACTCTTTTTCAGCCCTTTTCTACTAGATCAAATATGAGAGTCGGCTGAGAAGAGAACAATCCAAGGAAGTAGTGTTTTGGAGACGCATGGATAAGGTAACCCTTAAACCAATCCAAAAGGGTGGACAAATATAACGAAAACTCTATTCAAAAGTATTGATAGAACATGCAGTATTACGTTCTCTCCATGAAATGTCCAAATATTACATAAGCCAGAATGTAAATAGCTTTTTTTTCAAAATCCGACCAACAACACATAAACTCCTCAAATGATAAATTTTGGTCTAAAAACGGGCAAAAGTAAGGTCTAAATTGAATTCTACGATGAAAATACTGTAAGTGCATCAAATTTTAAAATGAAAATCCGACTGAGTGTATTAAGACGCCAAATAATCCAGCAAGTGGTAAAGAAACAGCAAATTCCGTCCTCCCTTTTTCGGACAAATGTTGATGTAACTCTCTAAGTGGCACCTGGTGACAACTGAATACGATGGATTCATCATCCTGAGGGATCACTGGAACACGCCTTATGCACGATTGGACGGCTAAATGCGGCGAAATTAAAAGTCTATTTAAACTTTTATTTTCTTATTTTCGAAAGGATCTTCTTTGAGCAGACATTACAACGTTTAGAATTGAGTAAATTTAACTTTTTAATGGTGAAATATGTTCTTCATACACTCCAGAATAAGGTCCAAGCGTTCATATTTGTGCCCATTAATGCCACTCGACGAGGCAGGTATGGAAACTGACCTTAGAAAACAGAACAAAATATGCGGATACAGAAAATGGCAACTTCATAAGTCTAGGGGGCAAAAGCATTTGGCAAAACTATTAAACCAACACTAGATTCATATAATATGGATCCATAGGAACACATTCTATCCCAGTATTATACAAAACAAGAGAACACCCCATGTCCGAGATTTTATCCTGTTCGTCCCACTGATGTGCGACGTCGGTGAACCCGCAGCAAAATGAAGTTGTCTCGGTAAAAATCGATTATCTTTTAAACCGGTGGTCCCAAAATAAAAATCTATAGCTCCTTAGAAAGCTAAAACCTTGTAGAACAATATGATGATGTAATATTAACTAATTTGTCTCTCTTTTCCTCCCCAAAAATTAGGGAAACTTAATTTTTTTAAAAAAACCCTCACATGTTAACATAAATATTGCTTTTATTTTCGAAGAGCCCGACAGATTTCTTCCGTTTTTGGCTTAAATGACAATACTTGCATCCTACTTCAAGCTCCCGAAGAGACTTTTCGGTGTCATCAATGTTTAATTTAAAGTTGGTTCAGACGAGCTGTGACCGGCAAAAGAGCTGCAATTATATTTTATCGATCTACACTGAAAAGATGCCGAAAACTTCAACAAATGTTTTTTTTCTTTTTCATCTTTAATTCCAGGGAAAACATAAAGAAGCTTTAGAAATTCTTAGTGGTCCTCTAGGTAAGAAACTGGACCCGCACCTGGTGATCACGACTAAAAGAATTGATTTGCTGATGAAACTAGGACTGTGGCAGGAACTCAACCTTTATCTTAAAGAACAATTACTTGATGAGTAAGTAGAAAATATGACTAAATTGTCAGTTTTTGCTTTGATCGCGGGTGAGTTTATATGACTGTTTGTTAGCCTGTTCGGCCCCAGGTCTCAGTATTTTTGGGTTTGAGCTTTGGCTTGTTTGGAAGCGTCATAGTTTTTTCGCAGTGATGTGGCTTGAAGAAGGTATGTGGTGATACCTGCGGAGGATAATATGGACTGTAAATCAAACTGATCTCCAACACTGTGCATGTTGATTGGTTTACAAAGGGAGCCACATGATCTGGTTCTACCCCCATGCTGGAGCTAATCCTCAATAACAGTCTTTTACACCCCCTTTTTTTATCGAGATGAAGCTAGATTTTGTTGCTTATTTTCTACTTTTTTGACCATTTCATTTTTTTCTTGATTGCTAAAAATTATTACTTTTCCTGAATATTCAGTGTAATACTATTAAAGGTTTTTCATATTTGTGTAAAAATTTCACCCGCAAGTTAAGGAGGGAAAAAGAAGCTCAAAAGGAGATAGTAGTCACTAAAGTTGCGTTTTGAGGGTCTTCAATTTTCAAAATTTCCTTCAAACCACCGCTGGATAAGGGGAGAAGTTATATTTTTGTTAAACGGAACTAAGCACCGATTTTAGTTCCTTTCGAGGATTTTAGAATCCCGGATAGCGCGTTCTGTCTAACGGAACTAAGCGCCATGGTAAAGCATTGTGAGCGTAGGACAGAATGAGCTCCGCAGTCTGCAACACTCGCCAATTCAACCCACATTCCCCCTCTTCTCCCTATGCTGCTTAGCTCCGTTTAGCAGAAGTATGTCCATTTGGCGGGAGTACTCGTATTTTTAAGGGAGGGGGGAAGAATTCCTGACCACCTTGGACAGATGTCCACCCGGGACAACACTGTGTCTTGGATAGTTACTATTTTTAAAATCTTTGTTTATTGAGTGTGTATTTCAATTTTAGGAAACATACTAGCTTCTGTAAGCTCTAAATCGTTCATTCCTGATCTTGGAATTTTTGCTGTGAAGTTAACAATTATGTTTGTGTATTAGTGAAAAAGACCTATGTGACTCATATACATTGCACTTTTTATTTCCAGGATAGATGCTTGGTCAAATTACTGTCATTATTTTACATCAGTTTTCCATTTGTGCTGCGGTCCTATCCTTGAAACTCAAATCAAAGATGGAAATGATAAGGAACAAATCAAAGAAAATGGCATGTGTCTTCCAAATGAGAAAATTAATAGTCAGCTAGTTGACTCAAAATTTGACGCTTTGAATGGAAACCCTGATAATAAGTGTCAAACCTTAATCAATGGTGTGAAAAAGTTGATGATAACACAAGAAAGTATAAAAAATGAGGAACCTTGCGGAGAGGATTCCTGCCATTTAAATGGAGATTTTGGGAATGATTCTTGGCAGAAAAACGACAAACAAGAGATTTCTAATCAAAGGCATGAAACTGACAGTAAAAATGTCTCAGTTGATGACACTTTAGGTTCTTGTGTCAGTTTTTTATCAAGATTAAGAGCTGAAAATGAGAGACTAAAACATCCCGTCAGAGGTCCCCTCCTTGCACCTTTAGAGCTATACCGCAGATTGACTGAAAGAAAAATTGATCCAGTCCCTCTTGTTGGTAAGCACTAGTTACTTTGTTATGTTTTACCTGAAAACCAAGAATTTCCGGTAATGGACCTCAATTTTTTTCCATTCCTAAGTTGTATTTGGCCAAAAAAAAGAGAAAAAAAACCCCCCTACATTGATATTTATAGCAATTATCTGAAAGCTCAGGGAACCAAGCATTGTGAGCAGAAAAAATCGATTTTTATCTGGAGCTTGGCTCCATTGTTTCCCCTTACAAAAGAGCGCTTTTTGCTTTAAGTTGCCTCAGTGGTGAGATGGAGTAAACAGTTGAGCATTTTTTAAAATTTCACAAGACGGCTCGTGAAGGACTTAGAGAGCATGGTACTATTTTGAAATGTTGGAACTTGGGTTTACTTTTTGGATATTTTTAGGCTTCGGATCCTAGGGAAAGTTGTATTGGCATAAATTGATATTGTTTGGTTAATTTACTTGCTGAGCAATTTTATAATTTGGCAGAAACCATTGACATTTTGTTCTCGTCGAGTATTTCTTTCCACTGGTTTTAATTATTCTCAGTGTCTTTTTTAATCCAACACTGTTTATTTTTCTCTCCTCAGGCGATTTAGTGTCTTTACTCATGACTTATTTTAAAACATTCGGCAGTAAGCAATGTTGCCTCAGTGATATTCAAAATTATATAATTCTCCTGAACAAAAATCAAACAAGTGATCTACTGCTACAGATACAAGAATTGGTTGGGCTTCAGCATAACGAACTACCCTCTGAGGTTTGAACTTTTTCCTATTTTTCTTTCTCTGGTTAAATCTAGTTTTCTGGTGTTCTTCAAAACTTCAAAACTCAGATCATGTTTGCTCTACGGAGAGGAAAAGATAATTTAATTTGAATGACTGTGACAGGAATCATCCTAAGTACATCAGATTGTGCCTAGTTTTCTCTGTTCTTTCATTTTTCAAACAGGAAATGAAACAAAATTAAAATTTGAATTGCCTTCCCCTATTGCCCTTAGTCAGTTTCCTTCATCAGTTTAACGTATAAAACAAGTGAATCTTCATTTACCCCCTCTTTTAGACTATTTCCAAGCTACGAGGGTAGTCCCAAAAGTCTCGTGCGTTTTGCTCTCATTTCAAAATTGAATCGGTTTCTGTTAAACGGGCGTAAGTCCGCAAATCCAAATTTTTCAGGAGAGGCAAAAAACTGATTTTCTCGTTATGCAGGACACCACTAAATTTCAAAAAAGGGTTCAAAGGTTGTATAAACACCCGTTTAAAAGTTCTGAAATGTTTTTTTGGCTCAGAAAAATTTTAGTACCCTTTTAGGCTAATTTTAAGTTTTGGACTTACGCCCTTATACCAGAAAACGAAGGATGACTGAGACAGTTTCAAGCCAAAAAACTAATATTAAAGTAAGTTTGAAAAATGTAGCACATGGTTTTTTTCTTTTATATAGCATAGGGGGTTATATGTTTTTAAATTTATTTAAAGGCCTAAATTTTCTAAAATTACTCCTATTTTTCCAAAATTAATGAAGGTGACATGGGATATTTTCATTTAAAAAAGTGTTGAAACCAAGTTTTCAAATTTCAATCATGTATTTTTGTGATCAATGCACAATAAGAAGTTATATCACCTAACAGCTAGGTCAAGATGCAAATTCAATACAAATGTTCTTCATTTATTATGAAAACAGTTACAGAAACTTTAGAAATGCGCGAGTTTGAGAACTCGCCCCCCTAGTCCACAGGCTTCTATACATTGGACCTCCGCCATCTTTTCAGAAAGTGTGTATGTACCCTAAAGGAGGCTGAAAATGCAAAAAAAACGATTTTGAAATTTTTGGACTTACGCCCGTATAACAGAAACCGATTCAATTATTGTATGTGCACATGAGACATACTTTCAGCTCTAATTTAAGCCCATCAAGTTTTTAAAAATTGGATGAACAGGACGATCAGGAGGTCATTTCTCCTGCACCGCCTTTAATGCGTTTCCTGCCACCTCCAGGCGCGCGATAAGCTAGCATTTTTGGGAGCCACCTGGCTCGAATTTTTTTTAATTCAACCATTTATGAACAATTTGATGCAAGACAGATTGAGAAATTACAAGAATATATTCGAGCATTTTGTTAAGTGTAATTTGGCGATCTTTGTGGATAAAAGCGTCGACTCATTGCACTAAGTCACTATCGATCACACTTGGTCTACCATCTCGGGTTTCATCGTGCACTTCTGTTCTTCTTTCTCAAAACGATTGGATCAACCGCCGGACATTTCCATCGCTCATCGCATTTTCCCCGTAAACTGCTTGAAATCTGGGAATAATGTCACATGGCCTAACACCTTCCAAAGTCAAAAATCGAACTACTGACTGAACTTCAGAGTTCTTTGGCTTAGAAAGTGCCATAACTTTATAACACACTTTATATAATAAGCTTACACAAATGTCGAAAGAACACTGATTGTACTCATCATTGAAGGTCTTAAAAACAGCATGCTGAACAGGTTAACAACCCGGTAAAAAATATTGAAAAGGATTTCAATGCGATTGGATCAGATTGGCCAAAATTGTCTGCACATCTTACTTATCACGGAAACTGTGCGCCTGGAGGTAGCGGTTAACGCATCGAAGGTGGCGCGGGAGAAATGACCTCCTGAGCGTCTCGTTCATCCGATTTTAAAAAACTTTGGCCTAAATGGGAGCTGAAAGCATGCTTTATATGCACGTTTAATCGAGTATTCCATATCTCTCATACTTTTGAAATGAGAGCAAAATGCGCAAGACTTTTGGGATGACCCTCGTACTTAAAATATTTTGTAGCCAATCATAGTCATCGTTCTTATATAAAAAATTTACAATGTCTCCTCCCTGTGAAAGTGTAAAATAATAGTTTTTAAGAACACTGGGAAAAAGGTAAAATGAAAATGTGTACATACCGAGTTTAGACCTACAAATGCATGATTTCCCAGTGTCACACATTTCATGGCGTTAAAGCAACTTTGAACTGTCATTTCTTCTGGCCGAAAATTTTTTCAGGTTTCGCAACAGCCCATTTTAAAGTGTTAAAAGAGAACTTCCCCTCATTATTTGAATCGGTTTCCTGCGTGCTTTTCAATCAGGCAAACACTGAAAAATTTTTATTTTACAGTTGGCTAATACTGCGCCATTTACACTTAAGAGGTCATAACTTGGTAACCATGGATGTTCAACACAATCTGAACTGGGTATATGATTCTGTTGATGAGAAGATAGGTAGGCAACCCTCATAGTATGTAGCACTGGAAAATTTATAGACAGTAGTCTCTGGTAAAACAGGTGCGAGTTGGCACACATTTAATAGGCAACATGTGGCACTGCATGGTTGGAGCAGTTTTCAACCCCTTGCTGTGTTACTTCACTGGCCTAATGCGCGGCCTAGATTGTCTTATACTCTTATATTTATATCTGACTATTCACCCAGGTCAAACAATAGTGAATTCTAAGGAATAAAACAAAACACCTCTATCACGGCAGGTTTTTGTTTTCCTATCAACATTCTGAGGAGTGGGGTAACAAAATTTAATTTAATTTTTTATTCCTAAAAAATAAAAAGACGATATGTTTGCAGTAAAAAATTATCTCATGTGAACGTTTCAGCGTATGAAAAAAAAACTGTTAAAAGAGGGCTCGCAGTTAAGACCAAAATCAGGTTGTTAGGCTCGAAAATTATGACAGTCTGATTTTTGACCGTAAACCTCAGACCCCTCTGTCTCTGGAAAGATTAAATGGAAACTACCTCTGAATTTCGGCCTCTCTTGTGTCTGCTTACTATTGTACATTTTGGATAAAAAATTTTGCGACTATTTCCAATGGGAAATCGATACTTTTTTTTACTGTAAAATAAAAATTTTAGCCGGAGACTCATTTTAAAAGATATGCCGTTAATTTTTTTATTTCTCTAGGTCTTTCAAATGCAGCGTCATGTCAATCATTTGCAGATTTGCCGCTTTCTAGGTTTCCAAGACTCTTCTCATTTGGACAAAATGAAACTTGCTGTATCTTTTTGGAGATATTACTTGCATGGAAATAAGTTCAACTCTGGTACTGCTAGCTCCAACCCTGGGTATTTAATCTTTTCAATTTTATTTTACAGCATTTTTTAGTGTTTTGAGAAGTTTGATTTAAGTTATTTCAGTGCAAGATTTCATTACTTTCAATCCTGTGTATTTTTTAAGAAAAGATAGTATTTTGGACGAGTTGGGGGTTCATCTCCTAGGAGCCAGTAGAACTTATTCTGGCCTTCCAGGTTTTTACCAATCGCTGGCCTCGCTCTAATATTCATTGATGCAAATAATATTTGTAGATTTAATTGCAACTGGACAGTTCCCCAAAGTATTACTTTCTTCTAACCAGGCTTTAGTTTTATCTTTGAATTACAAATAACTGCCAGCCTTTTTAACTTTTCCTGGCTTTAAAAAATACGTGATTTTGCTTCATGAAATGTTTTTTAAAACCAAACGCTTTTGTTTTTAGGCTTACTAAAACATTTTCAGTTATGAAGTTGGTAATTAATTTCCCCCGTCCCCCTCTTGGTACTAATGCCATCCTGTCTTTTGATCTTTTTGTTGCAGGTATAATGATCCATATGTTCTACTTGCAGCACATGTGTTTTACGACTTATGGTGGCAAGGAAATTCAAGTACCTATCTAATTTATGCAGTCACTATATTAGAGTATGCCATATCAATCAGTCCATCAAATTATCATTTTAAATTACTTCTTTTAAAATTCTATAATCTACTTGGTAAGTAATTTTTTTTTTTTTTTTTTTTTTTTTTTTTTTTTTTTTTTTTTTTTTTCAGTTTTGTCTCTTCTTTTTTTGGTTCTAATTCAAGATCTGTTCCCTTGAGACTTTACTAAAATGCCTTTAGTCCATTTAAAAAAACCTCCGACTTTTTATTCGGACTTTAAATCCATAAATGCCAAAGCATGAGTCTTGGCCTCCATGACCAGACTGCTCGCTGGACATCCTCTATTGTGCAGCAGAAAGAGGCTTGCAACCTATTCATTGTAAGGGTAGAAACAATGGACACCCTTCATCTCTCCTTGAAGAGCTCTAGGATAAATTTTTTTACCGTGAAAATCCTTTAGTGTGAAAATTAAGTTTTGGCGCGAAATCATGATTTTAATGCACTAAAATTCAGTCAAATTACCTTAATTTCGGAGCGATATGCGGCATTCCTTGGCGAATGGCGGTCATACACCAATGCCGTTTATAAGCTTAGAATTAAGCTGATTTGATGGAATTGGAGAGAGATTTTATCATAATTTCGTGATAGAACTAAATTTTTTACGTTGAAAGATTAATTTTTCAATGGCCAAAAAATTTAGGTCAGGGTTCCAGAGCTCCTGGAAGAGGGATGAAGGGTGCCCATTGTTTCTACCCTAATAATGAACAGGTTGTGGGTCTCTCTTTGCTGCATTCCAGGAAGGTGTCCAGGGAGCGGTCCGGTCATTGCAGCGGAGACTGATGCATTGCCATTTACGGATTTTAATGCCGAAATGAATAAAAAAAATTCAGGTTTCGTGAGATGGACCATAAGAATAATTTTTATTCTAATGAAGAGTGCCAACTTTTCATGAAAAATGTCACTCCTTTAAGTTAAAGTGATTCGATGGACGCCATATTTTGTGTCAGAACGGCATGCGATATATCGCATCAATTGGTTCCATTTTTTCGGCTACTCGTCATTTTTCCTCAATTTTGAGATGGCAAATCTGTTGTCAGGAGACTGAAGCACTCACTTACCAATTTTAACGAAGAAATTCAACGTAATAAAGGCTTGGTTTTTTTTAGAGAGGGAACATTGCATTCGATACTGATATCGAAACTGCACTCGAATGCGATGTTTTCTCTCTAAAAAAACCACGCCTTTATTACGTTGAATTTCTTTGTTAAAATTGGTAAGTGAGTGCTTTAGTCTCTTGACAACAGAATTGCGATCTCAAAATTGGAGAAAAATGATGAGAAGCCGAAAAAATGGAACCAATCAATGCGATATATCGCATGCCGTTCTGACACAAAATATGGCGTCCATCGAATCACCCTAATGTAACTTAAATATTGACGATGAAAGTTGCAAAATTTGTACATTGATTGCAGTGTATCAAAATCTCCTGTGTTGCTCAGCTCTTTTTTCTTTCGTTTTTTTTTTTAAAGAAATGAAAGGATGTAATGTTAGTTATTGAACACAATTTTTACAGAATATTCCCATCAGGATGAAGGAAAGTCAGTTAATATTTCAAGAAATGATGTCCCAAGATAAAACACTGGGCAGGAAGTGCAGGCAATCTTGTGGTATTTGTCCAACGATACACTAAGGATAGGGAAAAAATCAATATTCCTATCATAAAATTGTTCTTTTTTGGACACATCTTGCTGTATTCTTTTCAAATAATTGCAAAAGTTTACCTCAATTAAAATTATTTTACTTTGCTCTGTGTTTTAACTAACACATCATTCTTAGTAACTCATCGTGAAAGGGCTAAAACTCGCCCGGCAACGCACTTGACACGGGCTCGCTCTGGGGGCGTAAAGAGCGTGAATATTTCGGGGGCGCCTAAAAGGCAAGGTCTCCACCAATCCGCGAATTTTAGGAGCCACGGATAGCTCACATGGTTGAATGATGACAAGACAACAATTGATTGATTAAATGAATGATTGATTGATTTAATAATCATAGACAGAATACACGAATCAAATTTCAGAACAACGAAACCGAAAAACACAACTAAATCTTCTTCAAAATCTTCCAAATTTCCATGAACTCTCCAAAACAACCGAAACTCAAAAATAGACAAAAACTACAGCTAGCACACCAGGACTTGGCGGGGGCAACGGTCGGACGACTCTAATGTACTGATCCTCTATGCCGGGGGTCTCGCGGAGGCTGCTGACGAATTTTCACTCAAAACGTTGACGGAAGGGTTGAACCGCACTCAGTGACTTGGCGGGGGCAACGGTCGGACGACTCTAATGTGCTGATCCTCTATTCCAGAGGTCTACGGAGGTTGATTCGACACCGCCGAAAAACACTTTGAGGACTCAGGGATGGAATTTTACGTGCACCTGGACATTACACGGAATCGCGACATTTCCCATCCCGGCGAACATGAGCGACTGACTTTAGAAATTTTCCTGAAAACGCACGCACCGTGCACCGCCGCTTCCTACGTCCCGCGCGTCCTGCCCCTTTACGCCAATAGCATCTCACGAAAAGTGCTGATCAATCTAGGGCTGGCCGCGGTTCACACGGGAAACAAGAGCAAAATCTAACCTATGACGTCACAATATTTCCTCCTCGCTGAGCCGCTGTCCGGCGTGCGATCCGCGCTATTCTCCCAGCACAAGGAGAACATGAATAATTTTTAAGTGTAGGGCTCAATTTTCGTTTCAATGCTAATTCAGTTTATAACTGGGCTGTTCTTAACTTTTCATCATTCAGCTAATGTGAGGGTTGCTTTTGATAGAGTAATTCATATCATACGAGATGATAATAATGGTTGACTAATTCGCTATGCTCATATCAATGGGGCTTCTTTTTTTTTTATTTTTATTTATGTTCACATTGGGCGTGGTATTTTTTATTTTTCTTTTAAAAAAACAATGGTCTGATTATCAGGGAAAATGACCGAATTTTTAAATGATCAGTTAGTTAACTGAAAATATACCAAACACTCAAATGATTATTTTTTAAAACTTAACTCTCCAAAACGCACTTTCATCCTCTCAGGTTCTCAGTTGTAATTTACAACCTCTGCATTATTCCTATTTTCATCCTTGGAGTTTTTTTGAAGTGGTAACAATCATTTCTTATGAGCTTGCCATCATATTTTATCCCTAGGTGCTGTCAAAGCTGCCTTCAAATTTGCCCAACTATTGGACATTAAGCATGTGCAGCTAGTCTCTCTGGGGTATCTGGTTCAAGACCCGCTTATGGCATCAGGTCATTTCTCGATGTCCACTCATTTTTATGAATCAACTTTAAAATTCTTCCAGAGTAATGTGAAAGACGTAAGTTTCCACTTATTTTTTATAGCACACTTTTTTGTTATTCAAGTCACCCAAAAGGTGCTGACTACCCCAGGGTGAATCAAAAACCAGGTTTACTAAACTCTGGAAATCATCAAACTCTAGAAAATTGCAAGAAACTCATAAAAGTCACGTGCTTAGTTGATTTTTAAGGTAGAACTCATTCAGAAAACCACCCTCATTACTGAATTCGTGAGGGGAAACCAAATTAAATAATTTACAAGTTTTCAATGAAAGCGCAAAATAAAAATTGGTCTTCAGAAATAATTATTGTTGCGGTGACATCCATTGCAGCTATCAGTAGGGGTCCGCGAAGCCTCGCATTTGCTTCGCGTTTTGCGCAAAACGAAGCGCGAAATCGGAAAAAGCTAGGCAAAGCGAAGATATTGCGGTAACGAACGCGGTAATTCAAATTTTTGCGCTCTTTCGAAATCGATGCCGAATGCCGATGATTTATGGATAAATTCGTCCGCCTGAACCGGTTCTTTGCGCATGCGCTTGCGGCCGCTCCGCGGTATTTACGTCAATCCATGAACGGTCCATTCGGAGCCCCCTGTTCGCTGGAAAGTGGGAACCATCTGGGAACTGTATGGCTCTTTTTAACTCGGTGGCTTATGGGAGAATCGCGGGCTGCGAGTGGTTTTCGGGATTCATTACTTTTAATCAATCATTATTTCCGCGAATTTGGGCAATTTGTGTTCACCAAAGTCATAACAAATTAAAAAATGTACAACATTCCCGGTATTTATGAAATAAATTTTCATTAGTAGGTATTTTGTACTGAACTCAAACTGTATGAACACTTGTAACAAATGTTCATCTTATTTGCTCTTATGAGACTTTTTTACTTTGTGTTCTTGAATAAAAATCATAAAATTTTTTGAAAAGTTATAATCGATGGTTCTCAAATTATTATTTCCACAATTTTGTAGGTATTGCTATGTTTTAAATTAAAATAGATGAAAAAAAAAATTGAAGGAAAAAAAGAAGTAAAATCAGTTTTTATTTTTTATCATTTCGTGATAATCAAAGCAAAACCGATGAAAAATTTAAAAAAAAATCGTAGACCTGCCGGCATCTGAGTAAAAATTTATTCTGAAAATTTAGGGGAAAAGGGGGAAATTTAATGAATGTATTCTTCTCGTATTTCCCGGTGTTCAATGAAATTAACCACCGCCGTACGTCGAGTCACGACTTGCTGGAGTAACCGCCGCGAAATTCTGCAGGCTGCATCCAGCATATTTGAAGGGGTTTTTTTTGTCCGCTTCGCTTCGAAAAACGCCGCTTCGCAGGCCCCTAGCTATCATGCTCCCTCTTTGAACTTCATCACTAAATTCAATCTCTGGGCCAAATTTTTAGTAGTCCTAGGTGACATTTAGAGTACCTATATTGAGAGAGTATGGCCACTGGAGTTACCACCTCTGATTGGCTCAGCCATCTTAGGCTGAATTGAGCCCTTAGGACCCAAAAATGGCGGACGCAATAAATTAATGTAATGCAAAATGACTCAAAATACAGTTTTCTTTGCTTATCTTAACGAGAAATTTACTCAAATACACTATTGCGACATCTTTACATATTTTTAAGGCTAATCGTGTGCAATTTTTGAGAAAAATTATCTTAGATGTAGTAAGGTTGGCAGCAAGTGCGGTTGGTGATAACCGTCAAAAGTTGGCAATGACCCCCCTCCCATCCACAAAAACCAAAACAAAGCACCGCCATTCTTGGGTCCTAAGCCTCTCCATGGGGCCCAGTGGCCATACTCTCTCAATATAGGTACTCTAGTGACATTTTCCTTGAATTATCCATCAAAAACTTTTGCTTCCGCTTAATTTTTGCAAACTTGTACTATTGATTATACAGTCAGCGTATGTCAGTGACAACAATAATGGTCAAGGTTGATTAAAAGGAGGTTGGTACTTCCAGCCATACTGATAACGTACTACTTTCAAACTTCGCGCTTTTTTCTCAAATGGTAACCCCTACCTTGTGATATCTAATTGGAAAGAACATTAAAAATTAAGAATTTTGGCGCAAACTGCAATTCAATATCTTAATTTCGACCAAGTTATGATAAGTCAAATGTCGAATTTGATCTAATTTCAAGAAATCAGAATTCTGGTTCAAATCATTATAGAAGAATAAATAGACGGTAAAATGTACTAAATTGTAAGCATTTTAAGTAAAAATCACAGGAATCACTTCAAACTACTTTTAAGGATATTTTCGGACTCCCAAATACATAAGTTCAAAAGTCATATGATTTTCCGGCGAAATGAGCCAATTTTTCCTAACTCGGCCTTAACAGTATCTCTGTAAGTTTAAAATTAGTTCAATATTTCATTCTCAAGCCTTCAGACTTCGGGCAAAGTTAAGAAAAAAAAAAAAAAAAAAAAAAAAAAAAAAAATCAAATTCGGCCGTTTAAATTTTGTTTTTTCAACTTTGCCCTGGGGGCTTGAGAACGTGATGTTGAACTAATTTTGAACTTAACAACATAATGTCGAGGCAAAGTTAGGGAAAATTGGCCCATTTCACGGGAAAATCGTATGACTTTTGAACAGAAGTATTTGAGGGTCGGAGACCCTCCTTAAAATTAGTTTGAAGTAATTCCTGTGATTTTTACCTAAAACCACTTACAATTTGGTACATTTTCCCGTTTTCTTTTTTTCTAAGATAATTTGAACAGGAGTTATGATTTCTTGAAGTTAGGTCGAATTCAACACTTGACTGTAGGCAACAATTTTACCGATCATGACTAGGTCAGAATTAAGATATTGATATGCGGTTTGCGCCAAAACTCTTTGTCTTTAATGTTCTCTCCAATGATGCATCACCGTTGCCTGCGTGAGTGGAGGGACCTTAACTACGTTTCTGTGATGTCACGCTAGTCGATTAAATTCAGCCGCGGTTTAACATGTGTTCCGGTGGGAGAATGTATCATGCAAGTTCCTTTCAAGCTGATATCTTCTCAAATGTTGATCTATTACAAAAATTAGTGAGAACCTTTCCAAAAAAGGATGAAATTTCACTTTGGAGAACTAACTAGTGCACAATTGACACTGTCTGATAATTGAGAAAATGAAAGCTATGAAAGCTAAATACGGAAAATCCTTACTCCACTCAGACTCAAACGAGCCGTTCATGCAACTTCGGCCGATCGAGGGCCACTCTCATTGGCCCACGCGGCGACAGCCTCACTCATTGATGTTCCAATGGCCCTGAGATTATTGTTCTTCTCCATAAATATCTACCAATTTGACGTCTATGAACTGACCAGTTACGGCCTCTTCATTCTCGTAGGCAACGGTATCACAAGGTAGGGGTTACCATTTGGAAAAAGAAGTTGCCCCTCCCCCCCAGGAAGGGGCCAAAATTTTGACCTCTCCGGAAGATGGTCCCCTTCGAGATAGAAACACTCCCAAAGTTTCGTTTTTCTATCTCCAAGGGTTCCAAAGTTAGAGGGAGGGAGCAACTCTTTTGGAACACCCTGTCAAAGCCTGGCAGCTTAATTGATCTACTTTTGGAGCTAAGAGACCAAGTTTTGTGTGGCTAAATCAGGGGTCATACGCTTTTTCTGGAAAAAGGGCACATAATTTAAGTGCCCTTCTTCTAGGAAACTGCGGTTAAGCCAATTTCCTGTGTCTAGTTACAAGCAAGTACAGCTGTATTGGTAGCAGAGATGGCCGCAAATCTCTGCTCCACAACGTGTCTCATCTATCTACCTCTGGGGTCTGGGCACGGCCGTTGCGACGTTGTGCGATGGTCCCAACCGAGGGAGGGGGAGGGGGTATTTTGACACCAAATACGAACTATTTTTTATCATACAGAAGAGATAGGGTAACCTAATTTTTTTAGAAACTCGTTCTTTTCTCGGAAGTCCACCTTTAAAAGCCAAAACCTATGACCACCGTTCATTTCCTGATAAAGGACACCTAACGGAAAATGTAATAAAAAAAAATCCTCCCACAACACTAAACAAGCAGTAACTCCAGCGCACTGCCGCTGGAGAGCGGCTCTGGGCCGCTCATATCCAAGACATATATAAACTACTAGCCGTGTTCAGCTCGCTGTGCGAGCTGTCACACCTAGCCGGGGAGTGCCCCTGGACCCCAAGTTCCTCGCTTCACGATGAACTTGCGACTCGTTCCGCGAGCCGCCACTCATAGCTATTAACTTTTAAAAGAACGAATTTACTTTTGTTTAACGAAGTATGGTGAATAGTACCAAATATGTTATCTTTGTCCTCATCCACAATCAGCAGACTTAGCATTTTAAGCCACGGCCGCCATCTTGGATTTTAAAATTTTGAAAATCTGACCAAAAATTCGAGTTTCCCGTTGAAAAATATTGCCGGATAGCGAGTCTCACGAAAATCGAGCGAACAGGAGTGGACTTAGCATTTTAGGCCACGGCCACCATCTTGGATTTTGAAATTTTGAAAATCTGACCGAAAATTCGAATTTTCCGTTGAAACATACCTCCGGATGCTGAGTTTCACGAAAATCGAGTGCACAGAACCCGATTTAGCATTTTAGGCATTAACACACAACAACGCCGCTAGGGACGAATCCGTCCATGAAGTAGTACGACTAGGAGGCTCGAACGACGGCATTCTTCCAAAAAAGCGCGAAAACTTGTCGTTTTGAAAATTCAGATTTTAAACGTGAAGTACATTTTTTTCAATACGAGATTAAAGCTCAGACCAGTTTTGAATTATCGACAGTATCACCATGATTCCAAAAATACACTACACAACATATCATTCGCTCACAAGAAACAACAATAAATTAAAATAAAATCATAGCAAGGTCCACAGCCGAAAATGGCGACGATTCCCATCTACCAACGCGCGCTCTAACCAATGGTAGATGTACCATTGGTAACATCCACTGCAGCGACCGACCGGAATAGCAGCTCTAGGTGCTAGCACCAGAGCCGCTAAAAAAGTATAATTTTTACCAATGGTTGTTATTCATTTTAA